GGGGCCAGCTGGAGCGCAGACAGGCAGCCCCCGCGTGCCCGCCGCGGCCAGCGCGGCGTGTGCAGCAGGCCGTGGCACCGGGGCGCCGGCGTGCGCACCTTGGCGCGGGTGTTGGTGGGGTGGGGCGCCCCGGTGGGGTCCAGCACGTCGCACATGATCAGCACGTCGTCGCCGCCGCGGATCGGGTCGGGCACGACGCACACGGGCCTGCAGGCGGGGCGGCGGGCGGGCGGGAAGGGGTGGCGGGTGGGCGAGCCGCGGCGGCGGCAGATGCAGGCATGAAAGCGGCATGCTGGGCTGCATCGATGGTCCAGGCGAGGCGGAGGCTGGGCGCCCGGTGCCCGTGACCACAAGCCATCGTATAATGCCAGCGGCCCTCACCGCAGGATGCAGTCGGAGCTCTTGCCCTCGGCCTGGCCGGTGGAGGAGCCGTCAAAGGACCAGTCGGGGAAGGCGGCGGCGTCAAAGTTGGTGATGGGCTTCTGGATGACCTTGGTCTTGGAGCGCATCTCGTTGAACACGGCGCCCTGTGGGCGCCGGGGGGACGAGGGAGGCGGGAGGCGGGCGTGTGGGTTGAGAGGAGCCGCTCCAGGCCGGCAGGCTGGGCCCGCGGGTGTGTGCGGGCAGGGAGACCGGCTGCCGTCGCGAATCCGCGTCTCCCCGCACCTTGATAGGCTGCCCCTCCTGGCCGTCGTGCCAGATGTACTCTGCGCGCTGGGCCAGGGCCGACACGCTCACCACTGCCACGCGGGCCTGCGGGCGCGGCGGGGCGCCAATACAGGACTGTTGGCTGGGCAGCTATCTGCCGGCCTCCCGTGCGTGCCAATCGGATGACCGGTGCTGCCTGAAGGCTGACTGGGCGCCCTGGGTGGAAGGGCAGCACCTGCATCAACATGCCAGGGCATGTTGATGGGGCGAGGACAGCGGCCCACCTGGCGGCGCGCGGAGGCCGTGCCCGTCTTCAGGGGCTGGGCCACGCAGGCCTGCGGCAGCACAAAGGGCAATGTGGGTGCTGTGAACAACCCTGCCCAGATGGCCCGACCCAGCTGTGGGGCCAGGATGGGCTCCTAGGCATCGGGATGTCGTCCATCCATTGCAGGGCACGCTCTGGAGCGCAATGGGCGGCCTGTGCTGCCCTCAGCGGCTGTTCCATGCATCCTCTCGCCCACCTTGGAGCTCAGCACGGTAGCCATAGTGTGATGCGCCAATCCGTGGTCCAGGAGGGTAAAGAGCGACGCAGGGCCGCGGGCAGGCCCATGAAGCGGTCCCCCTTTCCTCACCCTCCTCAGCCCACCAGGGGCCCACGTGACTCACAGGACGATCTATATTCCTTCGCCCCGGAATCTGCAGAACCAGCTGGTGTAGTTGAGGACCAGGGGAACCCTGCCGGCGGGTGATCCACAAGAAGGCACGAGTGCCTGCGGCGCGAAGCTTGTGCAAAAACAGCGAGGGAGGCCTCTTGCATTTGCCAAGCGCAGCGGGCGTGCCTGCTGTTGAGAGCTTGGCTACTGCCGCCGCCGCCGCCACCGCCGCCGCCGACCGCTCAGCGCGCCACGCCTTTAGCAGCAGCAGCTGAACGCCATGGCGCACCACCAGCCCTCGCTGGCTGAGCAGATGGCGGCGCTGCAGCGCAAGGTGGACAAGGCGGCAGACTGGCGGGCAAAGAAGCGGGAGGTAGGTGGCGCGCCTCGCCCCGCTTGGCCGCCGCTGCGCTGAGTTGGGCACCTGCGCCGGTGCCGCTCCACCGTCCCTGCCGACATCTTGCTTTGTCGCTCCCCGGCCATGCCACCGGCGCAGGGAGGCGACGGCGGCGGCGGCGCGCGGGACACGTACGGCGACGGCCCGCAGCGCGCCGCCAAGCGCCGCCCGCCCAACGCCACGGGCGGCGTGCCGCTGGGGGGCGCCGCGGCGGCCGCGCAGGCGGCGGTGGCGGCGGCGGGGCAGCTGGCGGGGCCTGCTCTGCACCGCTGCGAGCTATGCGACGCCACGCTGGGAAGCGAGCGGGAGATGGCGGTTCACCTGGAGGGCGCGGCGCACCGCAAGGCGCTGCAGCGGCAGGCCGCAGAGGCAGACCGGCGGCGGCGGCTGGGTGCCTACGCTGACATGGCGGCGTCGGCGGTGGAGCAGGCCTCCTGGCAGGGAGGCCCCTCTGCCAGGCAGCAGCAGGGCGCCGCGGCGCCGCACCTGGCAGCCACCGCCGCGGCAGCCTCCGGCGGCAATGCTGCTGCCCTGGGCGGAAGGGGCGGCGGCGGCGGCGGCTGGCAGCCGCAGCGCGGTGGCGGCGGCAGGGGTGGCGGCGGCGGCGGCGGCGGCGGCAGCAGGGGCGGCGGCAGGGGCGACCGCCAGCAGCCAGGCAGCGGGTCACACGGGCGGGGGCAGCAGCCTCGAGGGCCCCCAGCGGCAGCTCCGGCTGCCCCGAGGAGGGACCTGACCTCGCACGCAGAGATGCTGCGGCAGGCACGAGGCGACGACAAGAGCCCGCTCGATATCGGCGGCTGGGTGCCTCCCAGCGTTCCGGCGCCCGCTCAGCTGGCGGCCCAGCAGCAACCCCAGCCAGCAGCCCACCCCGCAGCCGCCAAGCAGCAGCAGCCAGGCAGCGAGCAGCCAGCTGGTGCAGCGGGCGGCGAAGCCCAGCAGGCGCGGCCGGCAGGGCGTGGCGCTGGCGAGGAGCAACAGCAGGAAGGCCTGCTGGGAGGGCTGCTTTCATACAGCAACGACGACGCGGCCAGCAGCGGCAGCGGCGGCAGCAGCCAGGAAGGCGTGGCGGGCGGCGGCGCCGCTGCCGCCGGCGACCCAGCTGCGGCTGCGGCTGCGGCAGGGGCAGTGGGAGCTGGAGCGGGCGGCAGCGCAGACTCCGACGGAAGCGATAGTGGCAGCGAGTCGGATGGCGAGGAGAACCAGCCTGTCAGCTTCTTCACCTTCTGACTTGACCCGACCTGGCATGCGGGCCTGCCGTTGCCTGGATGCCTGGGGGGGGGGGGGGCACCCCCCCCAGCTGCGCCTCTCATTTTGGCGCCCAGTTTTCCTTGTCAGTGTACCTTGTTTTTCACAAATTCTACACCTTTAAACAATCAGAATGGCGCAAGTGGGTAGTGTGATAGTGGTGTCATTTGCTGCCGTCGGGCAGTGCCAGTGTTCAAATAGCGGGGCTGGTCACCAGCGGGCTTGCCGGGGAAACCGCCTGTTGTGTCATCAGCGAAGGACTGCACAGTGCTCAGCCTGCTCGCATCGGCTCAGGGCTCTTCATCACATCATGTGCAGCGGCGCCGTGTCGCCGCCCTCAACCGCCTTGCCCTGGCCAGGCTGGAAAGTGGGGTTGCTGTACGCGTACTGGCTGCCCAGGATGGGTGCGGAGCCGGCAGCGGCGGCGGCGCGGGACTGCACAGTCAAAATGGGGGTGGGATGGGGGGAAGCACAGATCAGTTTCTCCCACTCAGGAGGTGGATTCAAGGCTGCCAACCCAGAGGGGCCAGCACCTCCCCCCCACTCCCCTGGAGCCGCACACCTCCCACACCACACACCGCCACCTCCTTGCCGCTCACCTTGCGGTGCTGGCGGGCCAGCACGCAGCGCCGGATGAGCCAGGCCAGCAGTGGCAGCACCACCAGGCCTCCCAGCACGCACACCAGTATGATCACGTAGTCGTCCACCACCGCCTTCTCCTCGGGGTACAGAGAGGCGGCGGGCGGCGGCGGCGCCTGCGGCGAGTGCGCAGCGGGGGCAGGGCTGTTTCGCTGGGTTGTGCCGAGAACGAGAGCTGCACGCACATGTGCGGCTGCCAGAGAGCGAGGCTGAACTGACATGCATGATGCCGGCAACTCTTATGCAGTCCAGCCACACACACCCAGCCAGCCAGCCAGCCTGCAGGCACCCCACCTCCACTGTCGGCACCTCCGCAGCCTTGACCTCGGCCGGCACGGGCTGGATGGGCGGCGCGGGCGGGGAGAGCAGGATGAGGGGCAGCGTGGGGACTTCCACCGGTGGCAGCGCCACCGCTGGAGAGGGCGCAAACGCCACCACAGGCGGGGGTGGGGGCGGGGAGCCGGCCATGAGGATGATGGGTGGGCTGGGCTCTGGAGGGCAGGGAGGCAGGCGGGCACAGGGTGTGTGAACAGGTTAGAGGGACGAGGCACCTTTGAGCACAATAGGAGCTGCAGCAGCCCGCTGCAGAGGTTGCAGCAGCAGCAAGCACAGGAGGCTGCACCCCACCGCCACTGCAGGCCCAGCACGTACCGGGGAAGGTCGGCACAACCGCCTGCGTGCAGTTGATGGTACCGCCTGGCAGCAGGTAGGGGCCACGGTACAGATCAGACGAGCCGGCTGCCAGCTGCTGGGCAGCGCAGAGGTCGGCCGCGGTCAAGCCGGCGCCGCCGCCCTGCAGGGAATGGAGGGCAGCGGAGGAGCCCCTGGGCGCGCCAAGGGTCGGACCAGCCTGAGGCCGCAGGGCGGCATGGACAGCGTCGATGCAGTCTGGCCCTTGCCCCCCGCCGCAGCGCTCTAGGGCAAAAGAGAGCTCACCTGCTGGGCGAGCAGGCGGCGCTGGTCGGCAAATACGGGGCTCAGCTTGCTGCAGGGGGGCGGGAGACGAGCGGGCAGGGTTCCGAAGCTGTGTCAGCCATAGCGGCGTGGTGCTGGCCAGCTGGCAGCAGGCACCACTGGTACCGCCGGAGCCGGCCCGCCCAGTCGCTGCAACCCCGCCCCTGCGCCCTCACCTGAGCAGCTGCACGCTGGCGGCCTGGCCCTCCTGCTCATGGCGGCGCTGCTCAGGGGTCAGGCACTGCGCGACGCTCCACGCGCCGGGCAGCAGGCTGAAGGTGCCTGCAGGGCTTTGGGGCAGGTGCGGCCCAACGTATGCGTGACGACGTCCCAACGCATGCGTGGCGACACGTGCGGCGGGGAAGGGAACACAGGGCAGCGGCCCAAGGAAGCAGCAAGCGCCTGCCAGCTCACCCTCTGGGCACGGCAGGCAGGCGCGGCCATCGGCGCTGCTGTAGGTGCCGGGCTGGCAGGTGCGGCAGGCGGCGCTGCCCAGGGCCGACGCCACGCGCCCCGCCGCGCACGGCTTGCATGCCGCGGCACCGGCGTTGAAGGCGTACGTGCCAGCGGCGCAGGCGGTGCACCGCGCAGGGCCGTCGCGTGTGTCGGCGTATGTGCCGGGGATGCAGGCGGGAGGGGAGGGAGGCTTGGGGGCCAGCGCCGCCGTCAGGATGTCAACCACCTCATCCACAGGCACCTGCGGGGGGCAGTGTTGGCGGACTGCAGTCAGCTGAGATGGCGCAGCAAGATCCTGCAGCGCTGGCCCACCAGCCATGCATCGCACGCGGCTGGTGCAGCAGGCTGCCGCTGCCGCTGCTGCACTGGTGCCGCCCATGCAGCGCACCTGCATCGCCTCCTGCATCCAGTATGCCTGCGGCACCGGCAGCAGCCAGTACTGCTGCTGCAGCGCGGCGGCGGTGTGCCAGAACATGAGGGGCGGGTCAGCCATGAACAGGAACTCCACCACTGCAGTGCGGGGTGGGGTGGGGTGCACAGAGGTGGGGCATGCAGGTGGAGGGCAGGGTTGGGTTGGAAGGAGGGCAGCGGGCGGCATGCAGACCCCGGCAATGCCAGCTCCGCATCACTGCTGCCGGGCTGGAGCCTGCATCACTGCCGCTACCGGACAGCACACTTGCCTGTGGTGCCCGGCGCTGAGAAGAGGATGTGGGAGAGGCCGGCGCCGTGGGGCCCCGCCACCAGGCGCGCGCGCTGGAACAGGGCGACGGTTTCGGCGGCGCCCACTCCGCCGCTGAACACCACCAGCGGCTGCTGGGGGAAGGCGGCGCGAATGGCTGCAGCGATGCGGGGGCAGGCACGTGCAGGCACACGCATGCGGGGTCGGCAGACCGGCAGTCAGCGGCGTGATGATGCCTTGTCAGCCTGCCGGGTGCAGCCAGCCGGCCGGCCGCCCACCTGCCAGCAATGCCTCCTCGTTAGCCACCCGCCGCGTGGGCTCCTCGCTGCGGGACACGTAGATGAGCAGGTCGCGCTGGGCCTGCTGGGCATGAGGTGGTTGGGGTGGGTGGGTGACAGCCGGGGGTGGCAAGCCGGCCCATGGGTGCACCACCTGCTCCACATACGTATACCCAGAGGACGGCAACCGCCTCAGCCTGCGCGCAGCTGTCGCATTAGCGAGGGCAGCAGCATCCAGCCGTCCTGCGCCTTACCTCTGGCAGCGTCTGCACGCCCAGCCCCTGGCGAACCAGCTGCAGGCCCTCACGAGGCGGCGTGATGCGGGGAGTGGGGGTGGGCACCAGCAGGCGGTCTGCAGGCAATGAGCGCAGGGCACCTGGTGATGCCTGCTGGTGTAGTGCATCGGCTCATACCACCGCCGCTGCAGCAGGCTACGCGAGGGAAGCGGCCTGCCGCCCCTCACCCGCGCAGTACACCCTGCTGGCGTTGTACGGCACGATCTGGGAGCGCTGCACGCCCAGCAGCTCCAGGTACTGCAAAGGGGCAGCTTGGCGTCGGTGTGCGCACGCAAGGCGGGCAGGGCAGCAGCAGGTGCAGAGGGCTGCGGGTCGGGCCCTGGTGGCACCAAGCTTGGCGGCGCCAAGCCTGTTGCCAGGCACAGCAGATCGGCAACCGTTTGCAGCAAGGCCCAGCCCAGCCACCCCTCTGGCTCACCTCCGCCTCGTACGGCTGGCCCCAGGTCAGCAGCTTGACGTCAGACGTCAGCCGCCCGCTCTTCATCAGCAGCGCAACCCTGCAGGGCAAGGGAGCGAGCGGGTCGGCTGCAAGGCCCGGCGCTGCCACTGGCATGCAGCCACCCAGCTGATCGAGTGCCGCCAGAAGGCCCCGAGGGACCCCCATGCCCGATGGGAATCAGGCGGGCCTCCTTGGACCCACCTGGGTAGCGCCTCCTCCACAAAGTGGTAGTACATGTGGCCGTACCGCTGCACCACGCTGGCCAGAGAGGAGAAGCGCTCGCAGGAGGCCGCCGCCTGCAGGTGGGCAGTGCACGTGATTGGGAAGTGCAGGGAGATATATGATTGGGCATGCACCACTCCATCCCTGCACAACCTGCCCCACACCCCAAGCCCAAGGCAGCCCACCTGGGCCACAGAGCGCTGCGGCAGCGGCAGGAGCGGCGAGGTGCGTGCAAAGAAGAAGTGGGGCGGGTGGTAGGCGCGGCCGGCGTCGTCGTACACCAACCCGCCCTCGCCCTCCACAAAGCCGTGGTGGATGGTGGCCACGTACTGCAGGAGTTGGGAGCACGGCAGGAGGTGGGAGGGCCACACTGCCTGGCAGGGGGGAGCAGCAAAGCGTGTCGGCTGCCGCACCCCGGCCACCCAGGCACGGCATCTCTCACACACCTGCTCGGCGGTATCTGTGAACATGTTGTCGCCAGCAGGGGCCACGTCTTGCAGCAGGTTGAAGGCTGGGGCAAAGTCGGTGAGCAACTGGGGATCGAGGGTGCGTGGCGGGGAGCGGGGGAAGGGCTGCTGCGGGCCGCCCACGCGCGTCACCTCCACGCCCGCCCCGGTCATGGAGAAGTCTGTAACGACAGTCCAGTCCTGCTGGGATGAGGCTGCTGGCAGTGACGCCGCTGCCGCGAGGGTGGTGAGGAGGAAGAGGAGCAGCGAGCGAGGTGCCTTAGAAGGCGCCGGCGGTCGCCGCTCGCGGCCGGCGGGTTCCCGCCGCCCTGCGCCAGGGTAGGCCATGGCGGCCATGAAGGCAGCCTTGAAAGGGGTGCTAGATGGTCCGAAGACCAGTTCTGCGTCCCTTGGGGCCTCCCCCTTGCTGCCTCGGGATGTGATCGCCGTGGAGAGCGGGCTGATAAGCTCTGTCCTGCCCTGTAATAGTCTTATGTCCTCTATCACAACGATGAGATGGGCCAGGGGCGCAACAAGGGCATGTGGCGTTGGATCGACGTAAAGAAAATTGATGTCAACAGCGTGGCACGGCGCCTACGCGTACATGCCAATCAGACGTCGACACTGCTCCACACGGCCATCTGCGCTTGCCACACCGTGTTTCAGAGCAGGGGAGGCCGCCTGCGTGTCTGCCCGCCGATCACCCGCCTGTCCTTTCGCCGTTTAGCTCAACCGCACCCCTTGGGCACCCACCTAAGAGCCGGAGACGATCACCAGTCGTGCCAGGCCGCGGCCCGTGCATTACAGCTCCCCGCCGCCCCGCCGTCGCTGCCCCGCCCGCCGGCCTTTCCTGCACCGAGATGGCCACCCGCGGCCGCCACACCCGTGATGATGGGCAGAGAGAGTTCACGGGACGAGTACGGCGCTGGAACCGGGTGTGGGCGCCTTCTAAAGAACCAAAAAGCAAGGAGCTAAGGTTTCAGAGGTGGATGCGCACAGGTAAGCGGGCTGGTGGCTTTGCAGGCGGCGTACCACGCGCCTGACACTGGCAGCTGGAGAGGCAGCAATGGTTTGCCTCCCTGGTGTGTCCCTTCACCTCTACCTGCTGAACTCGTCCCTGCTGCAGATGAGCGACCGCCGCAGCTGGCAGGGCCCAGACACGCATACATTGTGCCGGTGAGTGGTGGGGCTGAGCAATGCAGGCGATGGACAGCCCAACCAGCTTGTGGTGTGGGTGCCAATGCCCGCCCCGCTACCCTTCCCTGCATGTTCCGCAGTACAAGGACCCTGCGGCAAAGCCCTACCCGCTGCATCGCATGGTGCCGCCGCCGGGGCCGCCAGGGCTGCCTGCCATGGCAGCGCCTGCGGCTGGTGCAGCGGGCATCAAGCGCGGCAAGTCACAGGTTGGTGTGCACGATGGGGCTTTGTGTACGCCGTGAAACTGTGCTGTGATTGCTGTTTTTCAGTTGCATCTGCTGCTCTGGCGCGGCGCCAGTGCATGCAAGTTAAAGGTTTTGTTGCGATGCTGGCAACGCTGACGTGCTACCCCGGTGCTGTTGCTGCCTGTCGTGCAGCCGGCACTAGCAGACGCGCACCATTCCGGGCCGCCAGCAGCCGCGGCCCCGGCGCCGCTGCAGCCGCCTGCGGCGCCGCCGCCCAAGATCAAGCTCAAGTTTACGCTTGGGGCCAGGATAGATGCGGCAAATGCTGCAGCCGGTGCCGGAGGGGCGGCGCCGAGCCCCGCAGCAGCAGCAGCAAGTATGGGCTCGCCCCCTGCAGCGCCAGGCCAGGTGTCGCCTCTGGGGCAGTCATCGCCCTTCCCGTCTGGCGCTGGGCAGCAGCAGCAGCAGCAGGCGCAGCAGGGCACGGCGTCGATGCAGCTCGACCCGCCTCCGCCCGCATGAGGCCTGTCTTCCCGCTAGCTCTCTCGCCAGGCGTCGTTGATTTGTAGCATTGTGCTGCGCTCCTGTAACGGACAAGCACAGTGGCCCCTCTGTCTGTCTGTTCTGATCGGTCAAGCTGCCGCCAGGCCACGTCCCGCCCGTCCCTGCGCCGCCGCACTGCTGTCATCAGTGGCCCATCGGCCGCTCCTGTGATCCGCACACAATCTACACACGATGGATGGCGAGCCGGTGACGCTGGCCACCGTGCCTGCGCGCGGCAATCGCCTGCACATCAGTTTTGGGCTGGGCAACGAGCTGCACGTGGCGGACATTGATACCAATGGCAAGGAGCAGTCTACGGCATCGGTGGTGCAGTGGTGAGCGTCCCACAGAGGGAGCACCGCATGATCACCTGCCTCCGAGCGCTGCACTGCTCGCCTGCCTCGCTCGCATCCCCGATTTCTTTGGATCACCGTTCCATACCGCAGGGGACAGCTGACGGCCGGACAGCGCCGCATCGCCTACGACTCCGTCGCCCTCTACCAGCAGCTGCACCAGCGGGCTCTGGACCCCCTCTCCCCTGAGGGATGGAGCGCCGCGATGCAGTACAGCAAGACAGTGAGCTCCATCCTGGCCGCAGACGGCGTCAGGTGCGGGGCGGCGGTCGGGTCGTGGCAGGGGCGGGTGGTCGACTTGTGGAGGCCTGTGCTGCTGCACGGGATTGCTGTTCCCAGCCACATACCGCCGCCATGCTGTGCGCCTGCAGGGGCGCCGAGGCCACGGCGGATGAGCTGTCGGCGCTGCAGGAGCGCGCTCTCTGGGACCTCTTGTCCCTCTTCTTCCTGGAGTCGTCCTCCAGCGGCGGCGGCGGCGGCGGGGAGGGCATGGTGGCGCAGGTGGGCCGCCAGCCTAGCCGACAGGGGCTGCAGGAAGCGGGTGTGACAGCGGCGGCGCCTCTGCTGGGGCTGAGCAGGCGGGACATTGCGCTGGTTGAAGCCAGCTGGGGCTGGCGTCAGCAGCAGGCAGCAGGAGGTGTGGCGTCTTGAGCCGCACCCCCCACCCTCCCCCGCAGGACCTGGCCCGCTGGCTGCGCGGCAACGCCACCGCGGTGGCTGGCGGCGTGGCGGCCTCGCCGCTGCCGGGCGCGGTGGCGGCGCAGCTGCGCGGCGCGTCGCTACCCGAGGGCGAGCCGCCGTACTGGCCCGCCGTGACGCGCCTGGTGGCCCTGGGCTGGATCGACGACGCCATCGAGCTGCTGGGCCTGCACTCCGCCTGGCTGCGCTACGACGGCAGCGGGGTGCTGGAGGCGGCGGACGGCGCGGCGCGGGCGCTGGTGGGCGCGCTGGAGGCGGCCACGCTGCTGCTGCGCCGCTTCCCCGTGCTCAGCGCGGCGGGCGTGGTGCAGGGCGCGGGGCGCGAGTGCGCCACCCCCTCCGAGTTCGCCGCCTACCGGCGCACCTGGCAGGCGCAGAGCGCGGCGCTGGCGGCCGACGGCGGCATGTGGGTGGCGTGCGAGGGCGCGGACGCGGCGACGGCGCGCGGCCTGCGCGCCGTGCTGGGCGTGCTGGCGGGAGACGAGGAGGCGCTGGCGGCGGCCGCCGCCAGCTGGCTGGAGCTGCTGGTGTCCCAGCTGCTGCACGTCTACCCGGCGGCGCGCCCCCAGGCGGAGCTGCGCCAGTTGGCGCAGCGCGCGTTTGAGGCGGGCGGCGGCGCCTCCGCCTCCGACTTCCTGCAAGTGGCGGCGGCCCTGCTGGAGGCGTGCTGCGAGCTGGATGCCCAGGCCGCCATGCGCGTCTGCTCCTCCTTCTGCTCCAGCTGGTTCATGGCGCACGCGCCAGACCTGATGGCGGCGCACCCCGCGGGTGAGGGCGCGCTACTGCGGTGCCGGGCAGGGCTGGGTGGCTGTCGATTGTTTGGCGCAGAAGCGAAAGGGAGGTGGGTGCCTGCCTGTGGGTCCGCGGGCCTGCAGGGCGCGCTGCCTTGGGTCGCCGTCCTGCTGCGCCTTGACTGCGCTGCCTGTGCCGCCGCCGCTGGCGCTGCCTTGCCCTGCAGGCGCGGGCGTGCTGGGGCGCGAGCTGCCTCACCTGGGCGGCAGCCAGGTGGAGTTCTACACGCTGGAGTATGCCTCCTCGCTGATGGCCCACGCCCCCACCTGGCCCCTGGCCGCCGCCTACCTGGCCTGGTGCCCCGCACACGGACAGGCGGCGCTGGAGGCGCTGCTGCGCCGGCTGCCGCTGGAGGCGGCGGAGCCGTGGGTGGCGCGCAAGGGCGCGGAGCTGGCGCGCTACCACGGGCTGACGCGGGTGGCGGAGGGTGAGGCGGCTGCCGGGGACGGGCTACGTGGGCGGAGGGTGTGGGCGGTTGGCTGTGCGTCTGCTGCTACCGGGCCTGCTTCTGCAGGTGCCTGCATGCCCGTCTGCTGGTTGCACCCCTCTCACCCGCCTGCCCCCGCCATATCCACCTGCCGCTGGCGCAGACGTGGAGCGCATGCAGGGCGTGCTGTGCTGGCAGGCGGGCATGCTGGGCGCGGCGCTGGCCTGGCTGGGGCGGTGCGGCGACGTGCCCCGCGTCAACGAGGCGCTCGCGCCGCTGGCTGCCGCGGTCAGCGAGGGCCGTGTGTCAGAGGAGCAAGCGGCGGCCCTGGACGCGCTGCAGCCTGTGCTTGAGACCTTGCCGCCAGGCAGCTGCAATGCAGCGCTCCTGTCGGTGCACCGCCTGCTGAAGGGGGGTACCAGTAGCGGCAGCGGCAGCGGCGGCATGCACGCGGCGGTGGCAGCGCTGGCGCAGCTCCCGGAGGCCATGCGGGACAGCTGCCTGCAGCTGGTGTGCACCGCGGTGCCAGTCATGCCGCCGGGGGAGCTGTCTGAGCGAGACGTGCTGTACCTGCTGCAGTGGCTGCTGGTGGGTGCTGCCTTTGTGCTCTCCTTCACTGTGCTGCTGATGAGGGCCGCACGGCTGCTGCTGCCCTGGGGCTGCGCCGGCTGCGCCCACACCCACCTCTGCCATGCCTTGCCTGCCGTACAGAACGCGGAGGGGCGGCTGCCGCCGGGAAAGCAGGGCAGCATGCTGGCAGCGGCTGTGCAGACGGCGCGGCTGGCACTGGTGCGCAGCCTGGCGGCCAGCCACATGAAGCAGCCCCCGGTGGGGCAGCAATGATCCTACGTTGCCCTACATCGGTGTTGTAATTACAACTTTGTAGATGTGGCATGCTTTCTGAGCAAGAGGCTGACCGTAGCTGCCCCAGGTTGGCTCGCCGCTGACTTGGCGCGCTGTGCTGCGCCGCTGCAGGAAGTCATGCACAGCAAACGCAATTGGAATTGCCAGCACAGCGCGGTTCATCACAGCAGCTACTCAGAGGGCAGCAGAGGGCTGCGAGTGTGCAGGTGTGGCATCGCTATCTGATCCCGCCGCTTTCGGCAGCCCCCCTACGGCTGCAGCTGCGGGTGGTGCTTCGTAAAGGCGCCGAGGTGCTGCAGGCCGCCCGCCGCCTGCTGCAGCGGACAGCAGCGGCTCCCGCCGCCGGCCGCCTCGCGCTTCCCGCCATGGCGCACATCACGTCAGTGCGGCTGCAAGGCTTCAAATCCGTCTCCCAGCTTGATGTTCGCTTCGGTAGAGGGCTGAATGTCATCGTGGGTAAGCCCGCTGGAATGCTCCCCTCTCTGAGCAACCCTCGTATCTCACCTTGCTGCCTCCGCCATCCCTTGCGCCCTGTTTGATGTTTCCTTCGTTTGATGGTTCCACCTCTGCTGCCGCTCAGGTGCAAACGGCTGTGGCAAGTCCTCACTGTTGGACGCACTCTGCTTTGCCTTCGCGGCCGCCCCACGCAGCCTCAGTGTGGCGTCGCTGGCGGAGCTGCAGAACAGCGACAGCAATCAGGTGAGGGGCAGGGTGCGCCTGCTTCACTGCCCCTTGCGCACAGCTCCTTCCTTTGCTTGTCAACTGCTGCCCTGCCTCTTATCCCCCTAACATCCTGCCACTGCAGGTTTGCGAGGTTTGCGTTCAGCTGCAGACCGGGCGCGGGACGGGCCGGGAGATGCACACGGTGCAAGCGGCGCTCACCCCTGACGGCACTCGCGCCTACAAGGTCAACGGCAGGTGGGCAGGCACCGCGCCAGTGATGCGGAACGTGCTGGCAAATCAAGCCTGCAAGATCGCTCCATGCTGCTTCTGCATTTTGCGCACGCCTGCCCTAAACTCCCACGCCTGCATCGCCGCCTCCACCCGCAGGCAGCGCAGCGGCAAGGAGGTGCGCGAGTTCCTGCGCGGCCTGGGTGTGTGCCTGGACAGCGCTGCCGCTGTCATCAAGCAAGCGCGTGTAACGTCGCTTGCCGACAGCGCCAGCCCAGCAGACCTGGCGGCTGTGGTGGCCGAGGCCAGTGGCCTGGGTGAGCCATGCTGCTTGGCATGAGACGCATGCTGCACATGAGCTGCCTGCTGCGATTCCTCTGCCGGTACATGGCCTCTGCTGCTCACTCGCACTGCTGCACTGCTGGCGCAGGGCGCTGGAACGAAGAGGTTTCTGCCGCTTCTGAGGAGCTGAAGCGCACACGCAAGGCTGTGGTGGAGGTGCAGGCCAGCCTGGCCACCATGGTGGGTGGAGTGGCCGCTACCTGCAATGCTTGCTGCCGCAGATCAGGAATGCTTCTGCCAAACACAGTGTGCTTGGGGATGCTTGCCGAATGCCACTCGGGAGGTCTTCACACTGTTTTCTGGACAGCTGAACTCGCTCCTGCAAAATGCAGGAAGAGGCGGCGGCAGTAGACGGCGAGAAACTGCGGGCCGTGGAACGGCTGCATCAGATTGACCACGAGGCCGCTGACATGGCTCAGCGGATGGCAGGCATGCTGCAGGCAGGGGTCGAGCTGTGCCGCTCGCAGGCGGCAGCTGGTCAGGCCGCGACCGAAGCAGCTTCGGCAAGGCTGGCAGAGGCGCGGGTGCAGGTGGACCGCTGGCAGGGCGAGGTCGAGGACGCCAGGCAGCAGCTGGCAGCGGCTCAGGAGCAGGCAGGCGTCACTGGTGGTGACGAGGTACTGCCGCTGCAGCAGGCAGTTGCGGCAGCCGAGGAGGAAGTGCGCCTGCTGATGGAGCAGCAGCAACGGCGGCACCAGCTGGAGGCCCAGCTGGAGCAGGCAGCCGCGGCGGTCCAGCAGCTTGCTGCTACCCACAGTCAAGCAGCAGTGGAGCTGGCAGAATGCCAGCAGGCACATTGCAGGCTGGATGCCGAACTGCAGCAGGCCGAGTCGGCAGCTACTCTATCAGCTCTGCACGCGTCGCTGGCAGCCGAGGAGCGGCAGCTGGCTGCCGCTGTGGCAGCCAAGGAGCTGGCAGTGGCAGCTGCCAAAGCCACTGCCATGGAGACCAGCGGCAGGCTGCAGGAGCTGCAGGTAGAGCAGCAGCGCCTTCGCAATGCTGCTCTGGTGGCTGGATCGGAGCCTGGCTGTGATGACAGCAGCAGGCAAGGGCGGCCGCAGCTTCGTTTGAAGCTGGAGATGGAGGCCGTGCAGCAGCGGGGCCGCCTGCAGCAGATTCAGCAGCAGGAGCAGCAGCTGCAGGTGGAGGTGGGCATGCTTGCGGCACAGCTGGGCCGGACAGCACCCAGCAGCAGCGGCGCTACCTGGCGCCCGCTGCACCAGTGCTTCTCGCTGCAGGAGCCGCAACGCTGCCAGCAGTATGCTACAGCACTGCAGGTATTGGCCGGCAGCAAGCTGGATGTGGTGGTGGTGGACAGCTTGGAGGCGGCTGGGCAGCTGCTGGCGGCAGGGGGCGGGACCCGCATCTGGCCTCTGGACAGCCTGGTGGCTACAGACCACACCCTGCAGCAGCGCCGTGCGACCCAGCACTTCCCCAGCGGTGAGTACCACACTAGTGCTGCAGGCAGCTGCAGCGGCTGAGCGATTGCAGTGCAGCCACGCATCCTGCTATGCTGCACCTCAGCAGTGTGTGCTCGTGCTGTGCCTCAACGCTTCCCCTGTCTCTGGCCGCAGGCCAGGTGGTGCTGCCAGTGGACCTGCTGCACTCTGAGGCGAGCTACCGCCCCGCCGTCCTGCGCGCCTTTGGCGGCCACGTCATTGCGGCCACTGATGCAGGTAGGCTAGCGTGCTAGTGCGTCTGCAGCTTGAGTTCGAGAGATACGCCGTTGCTGTTGGAAGGCTTTGGGGCGGTCACGGCACCTGCAGCAGTGCTGACCAGCATGCCCACATGCCCGCATGTCCTCATGGAGACACATCTGCTGCCTGCCTCCCTCGCTGTGCTGCTGAAGTGGCTGAGCAGCTCATCAACCGCTTCAGCATCCCCTCCATCACTCCAGACGGCAAGGTCACCTCGCGCGGCACCCTGCAGGCAAGGCGGCTGCCACCTCTCCACCGCGCATCTTCCCTCAGCTTTTTGCTCGGCCAGCATTGACTGCTGCTGGCTGCCCCTCACCCTGCATCCGTGTGTGTTGTGGTGCAGGGCGGCTGGCGGGGCCCCGGCATTGCCGTCAGCCAGTCGCCCATGCACCTCAAGATCAGCCTGGCCGCGGCTGAGAGGCAGCTGGCGGCGGTGCAGCAGGAGGTGGCATCAGCGCAGGTGGTGCTGGACGCTTGCCAGCAGCAGCAGCTTGATGCACAGCAGCAGGAGGATGCTGCTGAGGCAGCAAGTGCTGAGCTGGCTGCAGCAGAGCGCGAGGTGCATGCATGCCAGCTACAGCTTGCCAGGCAGCGTGCCGCACATGCAGACGCTGCAGCGGTGGTTGCCAGGATGCAGGCTGAGCTGGCAGCCAAGCGGCAGCTGCTTCAGAGTTTGGATGCGGAGGGCGCCGGCGGTAGCAACAGCGGTGCACAGGCAGCGTTGGGCAGGGAGCAGCAGCGGCTCGCTGTGTCCGCCGTGGCGCTGGAGCGGCGGGCCCAGGCTGCTGCAGCTGAGCTGGCAGAGGCGGCTGCCAGGGTTGCTGCTGCTGAGGACGAGCTTGCGCTCTTGCAGGCCGAGCCAGCCTGGGCTGCCGTGATGGACAGCCGCCGCGGGGAGCTTGCCAGTGCCATGGCAGCACTGCTGGCCAAGCAGCAGGAGCACTGCGAGCAGTCTGCTGCTGTGGCAGACCGCCAGAAGGAAGGGGAGCGGACTGCCAATCAGCTCAGCATGGCGGAGCAGGCCCTTGATGCGGCAGAGGTAGCAGCGGCCCGGCTGCGCGCTGCAGCCGTGTGCCTGGAGGGTGTGCAGCGTGACTTGCAGCAGGAGCTGCAGGCGCTGCTGAGGGAGGTTCCAGAGCTGGGGGCCGTCGTGCAGGCTCCGCAGAGTCGCGGCGATCATGGCAGCAGCGGTAGCGGCACGCAATCGGTGGATCAGGTGCAGCAGGCCTGCGCCAAGCTGGCGCGCCAGCGTGTCCGGCTGCTGCAGGAGCGGCAGCACATCTCTGCCGCCAGCCTGCCACTCAGCGAGCAGCTGCGCTTCCGGGAGCAGCAGGCGCGGCTGGTGGCCTCCAGGCAGCAGGCCGCCACGCTGGAGACAGCGGCCCAGCGGCTGCAAGAGGGCATCACCTGTGCCAACAGCCAGGTGGGCTTGCCAGGGAGGGGTGGGTGGGCTTGTTGGAGCGCAACTGCTGCGCTGGTGCGCCTGCAGGCCGCTGCCGAGATGGCCTGCCAACGTGCCTGCCTGCTCGCCCGTGTGCAGGTGCTGGCTATGAACGAAGCGGTGTTCAGGGCCATCGCCACCACTTTCCAGTCGCTGGTGGCCGCTGTGATGCCCGCCTACCACTTGCGCTTGCGCAAGGTAACTAGGGACTGGCCCAGTGGGGCTCTCGGGAGCGGTTGCTTGGGGTCCAAGTTTGTTCCCAAGCTGCTTAAACTCGTGCCGCCAGGTAGTCCATGCAGGTGGGTGCAGAAGTGCACGAGGGCGTGCGTCTCGAGTTTGCGCACAGCCCGGCCGGCGCTGCAGCGGCAGATGAGGCTCCCAGCGACATTGCAGATGGTGGCAGTGGGGAGTGGCGCACTGGGCTGGATGCGCTTTCGGGTGGACAACGCACCATGGTTGCCCTGGCCTTTACCGTGGCGGTGAGCTGAAGCGCTGGCCTTCTCTTGCCTGGCCATGGTGCACATCCTGTTCCGCTTTCATGGCGATGGCTGCCACGGTCCCACTTGGCAAGAAAGCCCTGCTGCACTTGGGGTGTAGGCCTCCATGTCAGGCGCTGCCACCTCGTTGCTGCTGATGGACGAGGTGGACGCGGCGCTGGACGAGACCAACCAGGCGCTGGTGATCACCTCATGAGTGGTGGCTGAGCGGATGGGGCCGCAAGGCAAGGGAACGACCACAACTGCCAGCAAGGTTGGCTTGGCCCTTTGCACCTGCAGGTGGCCCGCCTGTTTTGCACGCTGAGTGGCAGCGGAAACAATGGCAGCGGCACCTCGGTTTCGGCCTGCCGCCAAGTGCTATGCGTCAGCCACAACGCAGCATTCCAGCAGTTGTGCCAGCACGTGGTGAGGCTGACCCGGGGCCCGGCAGGCACGCAGCTGGCGGAGGGCAGCGTTGGGGTGGCGCCGCCGGCGGCCGGCGGGCGCAGCAAAAAGGCGCGCAACGCGTAGCGCATTCATGCTGCCTGGCATTCCATGCTGCTTGCGATGTATGTGTAGTGCCGCAATGCAAGCCTGCCGGTCAAGCTGGAATTCCTTGGAAGGGCAAGATGTCGGGGGATCCCGCTACATGTGAATAGGGCTGCGTTTGGGGGTATGGCTCCACGGGCGGTGCGCGGCGGTACGGCTTGGGTACTGTCGGCCGCCAGCTGGTGCATGGCAGGTGGAGGGTGTGTGGACCATGGGAAGAGGTTGTGCACCATGGGATTAAAGTTGTGGACCGCGGGAATAAACGTGTGCACCATGGGAAGAGGTTTGCGTGTATGGGCTTAAAGTCTGGTAAAGCAAGAACTAGCTTGCAACATAGACTCCCCGCCGAAACGGGACGGGAACCGGGCGAAAGCAGAGAAAGCAATAAAACAGGGGTGGAGCAAGGCGACATGCAACGCAAGCAGCTGACAGGGCACGCATCGAAACGTGTGTATGACTGGCAAAGTGGCATGGCGCATTGGGGAGAAACGCAACGGTACGGGAGCATGGGCTGGCCAAACGGCAGTGCGGAACGCTAGGTCACTAGAAAAGCAGGGAAAGGCGCACTATGTATGCAATGAGGGCAGCCCCGGCTCGGGCCCGTTGAGAAAGCAGTGGGCGGGAGGGGGGAGGCAGCGATTTTTAGGGTTTAGTATATAGACCCTAGTATTCTCCAAACCCCCCTCCTCGAACCGTGTGTGGCTGCTCTCAGCCGCCCTCTGAGGTGCTGGACGGACGCCCCTCGACGAGAAGAGCAGTTCACCAACTTGGTTTGCCCCCAAACTCGGCCTGGCCACCAAGTTGTGGCCCCCCCCTGTGCTTGGTGTGGGAGCTGAGATCGGCTGTGTGCACAGAAGCGGGTGCCGTTGGAGCTGTGCACCGAATCTCCCTCGCCTGAGCACATGGCCGTCTTCCTCTCGTCGAGAGGGATCCGGGGATACCCGGGTTTGTGCTTTGGAGCCCTGTGGATGGGCCAGAACGGCCGTGCCTGTCCATCTCCCCCTGCTGCCAGCTGTAGCCTGTTCGGCTGGGCGATGCCAGGGGCTTGGCAGGGCCACCAGTGCCTCTCACCTGGTGCTCTGCCCTGGGCCCCCCACTATTTCGGACCCCAGGAGCACGGTGGTGGCCTCAGGTGGGTCGGCCGCCCCCTGGCCAAGCCCCTGCACCGCCCTGCACACGCCCAGCTGCCCAGCACCGTGTGGCTTTTGGAATCCGAACAAGTGCTCGAGGCAGTGGGATGAGCCCCCCAGAGAAATGCCTCAGACCATGTGACCCCCCCAAATCGACCACGCCGAATCCGAATCTGGCCTCAGAACGCC